CCCCCCCCCCCCCCCAACCAGGGATTAAACTCAGGCCCTTGTGCTTGCCAGGGAAGCGCTTATTCCACTGAGCCATCTCCCCGGTCCCCCAAGTAAGACTTTGTAATAACCTGAAAACACGCTTTAAACAAAATCTGCCCATACATATCATGGTCATTCAATTTAATAAAAATATCTTGAATTGTTAAAAACAAGTCTTAGGCAACAGAAAGACTAATATGAAATAGTTTTCTTTTTTTCTTTGAGACAGGGTCTCACTATGTAGTCCAAGCTGGTTTTGAACTTACTACATAACCCAGGCTGGGCTCAAATTCACAGCAATCCTCCTGCCTAACCCTGAGTGCTGGGATTACAGGACTGTGCCACCATACCTGACCTGAGTAGTTTTCTACCTGGCTAAGAAAGATCAAAGAGCATAACACATATAAAACTTATTTTAGGATATTTCATAAATCTATTTTATAAAAATTTTTAAGTTATCTAGCAAATTTGCTTAATCACTTTTCAGGCTTCCAAGCTGTAGAATCATACTGTAAATACCTCACTTGCTCATGATTGGGTACATTTGCAACAGCAAACACAAAATCATTAACAAACATACTAGTATGATTGCCAGTGATTTTTTTCACATGTGTGAATTTTTGACTGGAGTATGAAATGCTTTCCATGTGAATAAGCAAGTTTGAGATACACCATAACAAAGTATAGTAATTTAATTTTAATTATAATTATTTTAAATTTATGGCTTAAGTTGTATTCTGTTCCACTGGTTTATGAGTAAATTTGGATGGCTTATCATGCTGTTTAGAACATGATAGCTTTACAGTATGCTCTGAGGAGATATTGTGATCTCTCTAGCTTTGCTCTTTTTGTTCAAGATTACTCTAGCTCTTCAAGGTCTTTTGTGGTTCCCTATGAATTTTAAGACTTTTTTCTAGAAATGATCTATATCTTGGCCAGAGTAGCAGTTATATAGTTAAGTATATTTTATTTTTTATTTATTTGATACAGGGTCTTGCTATGTAGTTCAGACCTGTGCTGATTCTCCTGTCTCAGCCTCCCCAGTGCTGGGATTATAGGCGTGGGCTATTATGCCTGGTTTTGGGGCCAGCATGGCATGCTGTACTAGGACTACAGCAAACTACACCTCTATAACTTGACTTAAAAGGGAAAAAAAAGACCGTTATGTAATTTGTTACACCTTTACTATACTAAATATATACCAGATGTTTATCCTCTTTAAATGCTCCTGTAGGTTAGCTCTAACAGTATCAGACGCCTGAAAATCAGAGCTTTTTAAAAAATAATCCTTTTTTTTTTTTTTTTTTTGAACCAGGAATCAAACTTAGGACCTGCACTTTGCCAGGCAGGTGCTCATGCCACAGAGCTATATCCTCAGCTCCATACAAACTTATACCTAAATAAAAAATAATCAACAAATATTAGCAAAAAAAAAAAAAAGCACAATAATGTATCGGGTCAGGGCTGGGGAGATGGCTCAGTAGGATAAGCGCTTGACTGGCAAACGCAAGGATCTGAGTTCAATCCCCGGTTCCGCAAAAAAAAAAAAAATAATAATAATAATAATGTATCGGGTCAATGTGCTATATTGCTCTAAGGAGAGGAAAGAACTCAGCAAAAGTCCTAGAAGGAATGACAAGAGCTATTTTTACTTAAAGAATCTAGGAGGAAAGTATATTTTATGCATACTGAGTTAGCATAGAAAATAGCCTGATAACAGAGAAAAAGAACCTGACAGTGAATGGGTGAATATTAAAAGCCAAAAAGTGAGCAACTGACATATTACGAAGATCAAAAATTCCAAATAGGGGCTGGGGAGACGGCTCACTGGAATAAGTGCTTCCCTGGCAAGAGCAAGGGCCTGAGTTCAATCCCTGGTTCTGGGGAAAAAAACAAAAAACAAAAAACAAAAAACAAATGCATGATCCTCTATCTTCAACTTGTACCACAAGTAAAAAAGATTTGGATAGATCAACTGTTTCAATTGCTGGCTTTAGCTTTTACATTTTTTTTTTTTACTAGATTCAAGATATATTTCTGCCTGATTTACTCCACTGAATTATATATTTGGAATTTTTGAAATGGGATAATTAAATTTTTCATTTTGAAGAAGAAAAATACGACATGAACTTCATCATTTCAGACATAAAACATGTCTTCCATTGCTCTTGAATTTTAAGAGTTGGAATATTTATTCCTTTTGAAATTTTTAAACTGAAAACATACTTTTAAAAGTTAATACTTATTTTTTACTTCCTGAAAATTGATTCCTTCCATGATTAGGGAAACTAAACTGTATGAATGTTTTGTGTACTTTTCTATTTCACAAAGAGGAAGAGGAAATGCTAAAAATCATCACACTAATAGGAAGAGAATGCATTCTCACTCATCTAATATTAGAATCCTAACTTTTCTATTTGCCTAAAACACATCTTTTCTTTGAGGAACATCATGGGGGTGAGTGGCAAAAAGATACAAAGAGTCAGTCTGCTGTACAGTCTTCTGGTGGTACAGTCCATCCCCTCAGAATCAGTCATTTCAACTGTATCTGGTTCCACACAGGTTCCTGGAACCATCCTAGTTCCATTTCTTGCAGTATTTTTCCACTCACTTAGTCAAAAATTTATCCAGACACTAAGGAATATCAGGATAGTAAACTTTTTTTTTTTTTTTTAGTAAACTTTTAATTATCAACTTCAAAGAAATAAAACAAACCAGAGGAAGCATCTGACACTAAAATTAGGTTTCTCTTATAGGTTTGCTTTTTTATAGCTCAACACCAGGGGTCGCCAAACT